GTGCGCCGCTGTACTTGGTTTCCCAGAAATGGAAACTGAGAAAATATAACTGAGAGAGAGAGAGAGAGAGAGAGAGAGAGAGAGAGAGAGAGAGAGAGAGAGAGAGAGAGAGAGAGAGAGGGATTTCCGACCCACTTCTGTCAATCTTTTTATCAAGGCACTCGGGTTGCAGAAAGATGAGCACAAACTCCCATTGTCCAATCACTCCAAAGAGATAATCTGCCACTTGTACATTCCTCGTTTCCTTTTTGTTTTAACAAAAGGGCGACGGCCTTGAGATATCATCGCTGAACTGACCGGCCCCAGGTAATTTCCGAGTTATTTTCACTCATCTTGTTTTTTTCCCCTGCTTCCCATTTCGCTCCCTCTGTTCCGGTTTGGGTAGACTTGCGGCTCAAGATGATATAGCTTGTTAAATATATATATTGTCACATATATCGTCAAATAGAACTGCCCGGTAAACCGTAGGCAGAGAGGGAGAAGAGGACAACAAACGAGGGGCTGTGACAAACTGTTTCGTCGGAGTTTCACCGACTCATCAGGAGGCTGAAATACACAAGGTAACCGACGTTCGGGGGTCCGAACGCCCGAACGTATAGGACCCCTTGGGGATGTGTTCGGCCGTTCGGGCCAAACGCGGACCCACGAAAAAAAAACAAGTGTTATGGAGAAAAATAAATTAAACAAGATTTGCCTGAGCATTACATCCAAATTCCTTACCCAATTTGAAATAAAAATAAAATACGGAGAACAAATACTAATGATAAAAATAAATAAAAATAAAAAGAGAATTAAATTTAGTGAGTGCGGGAGCACGTTTTCGACAACGCCATCTTTGGCGATTTTTCTTTTTTTTTTGGCATGGTTAAATGCCCTGAAAATTTACAGATGTGTACTTTACATAATACAAAACCCACTAAAAAAGTTTCAAAAAATAATAAAATTCTGGCCTGGCTCAGTTGGCTAGGCATGCAAGTGGCATTCAGGAGGTTGTGGGTTCAAACCCCATGCCCGCCTGCGGCGCACTTAGTGCCAACGGACTGTGATAGTCCTCTGGATACCCCTGATCGGTATTAGCGGGGCCTATGACCAGCACGGGTGTGAGTGTGAGCGCGAGTGGGTTGTGTGTGCCAGTGTGTGGTGTGTGGGAGAGTGTGGGCCATAGCCTCTGCTGCTACTCGATGAAGGGTGGGGGACGATGAGAAAGGGAGGCACAGCTACTCGCAGGTCTCGGTCTTTGTGTTAGCCAGACCCCCACTGGCGGCCCCAACCCTATACCCTAACCATTAGGGGCAAGAGGCAACATGAAATCTCCCCTTCACAGAGAGAGGAAACTATGCTTGCAGGGGTCCCCTCTAGATAGTCTTAGGAGTAGGTAGTGGAAGGTAAAGAAACAGAAGTTGAGAGAAGAGTATAGAAAAATAAAATAAAATAATAATAATAATAATAAAGTGAAAACAAAAAGTAAAAAGTGAAAGAAACGTGGGCGAGCACATCTTGACACTGCCATCTTTGGCGATTTTTAATTCTTATTTGGCTGAGCCAAATGACGTCAAAACTTATAGGCATGTACCTCACGTCATAGAGAACTCACAAAAACAAATTCAGAAAAAAAAAATATTTTTAGGCCCCGAAATAATTTCTGGAGGGGGCCGAACGCCGTCAGGTTCGGACCCCGTACAGGACCCCGAACGCCCGTACGTACAGGGTCGGCCCGGGGACATCCGTACGTACAGGCCGGTGACACTGTATATATATATTGTCACAGAACTATTGACTAAGAGCATGAGCATGTGAAGTAGAAGAAGAAACAAGATGAGCAAAGAAAAGAAAAATGAAAGGAAAGACAGGCAAAGAGACAGACAAACCAGAATGACACTTTGTTTCACAGTATTATTATTTCTTTCAGTCTTTTACAAAAATTATTTACACTGAATCAAAGGATCAAAAAACAAAGACACATTGAAATCATTCAGTTTCTCAGTCTTCTTAACGCCTCCTCCAC